CTTTCCCAGTATTCTAGAAATTTATCAGTTTGCTAGTTGGTGCTTCATTCATTTCCACTCTTCCAGCCAGCATTACCAGAGAGAAGCACAAGAGTATTTCATGGCTCTGGTCTGCATGAACCTTGCTTAAATCTATTTATGGAGGAAAACAAAGGTGCATGGTCAGCTAGACCTGTGGGTTGAATGGGTTTTGCCTCAGGAAGAGGACAGGCTTTATTACACCATGACACAGAGTGAGAAAATAGCTTCAGGAGTCTTTAAAGACTGGGAGGAGTTCAGGGGGTTTGTAAGAGAATGAGACATTCCTGTGAAAGTCCCGGGTCCCCCTGAGGCAAAAATTCCCACTGTAGCCAAAGGCCTTGATCAAAATTGGTATTGAAATATAGCTCCCAGGGGTCACTCTGGGCTGTCCTCTCCCGGGAGGAGGGGGTAGGAGTTTCCCCAGGAAGCAGCCTGCAGAGATTTCATCCCTGTAGGTGGAGGCTCATTGATGCTCTTTTGCTAACAATTGCATTTCTGTTCCCGTGAGCTGCATTCACGAGCTGGGTGGGGCATTTTACAACCGTTGTGCTGGGGGGAATCGCCTAAAAACCAGAATCGTTTCAAACAGGAAGGCAGGGGGGGAAAGGGAGGGTGTTTGTGGGTGCAGGGGGCTCCTTTCTTCTTCTGCCCTCCTCCCTGTGCATACACACACACCTGCAGAGAGCACAGGGATAACATTAGAGGTCTGGCAAGAAGGCTCTAGCAGAGACACTGCTTCCTAGAGGAGGACACTGACTGTCACATACATGCAAGTGAAATAAAAGCAGGAAACTGCAGGGTGGGAAGGACACATCCCTGCTGCAGCCATCGTGTGGTCCAGCTGCACCTCCCATACACACACAGAGAAGCATGCACCCACCTTGTCATTCAGGTTCTGCAGCGCCTCCTTCCCCGTGGCACTCCTGATCTCCACCTTTCTCCCGAAATCAACAGATGGTTCCCCTCCCTTCCCGCTCTGCCTGGAATAGACAGACTGAGCATCCGGACCCAGGTGGGCAACATCCTTCTGCTTTGCCACCACTTTGTTAGATCCTCGGCCCACCGAGAGGGAGTCGAAGTCGATGGTCTTGTTCTCCAGGGAGCCTTCCACAGGGCAGAACATGCCACAGAATTTCTGCCGGGGCTTGGGGCTGCCCGAGCCCAGGTTTTTGAAGAAGGCTGGCACTTCTTCTTCCTCACCTTGCCGGCCAGACTGCTTCCTCTCAGCCATGGCTTGTCTGGGCTCCCTGCTAAGGGAAAATAAGAAGAGCAATAACCAGGAGGATCCTTCACACACAAACACACACAAAAAGAGGAGAGAGAGAAAAAAAGCAAAAAAAAAAAAGAGATTGCTCTGAGTCCTAGAGCTACGGCACCATCAGCTGCAAAGGGCTGTGCCTGGCAGGTCCCCTGCCCCCATCGGTACAACACAGCCTGTGGCTCGCTCTGTTTTCTTTGATGCAGTGCAAAGTTGAGGGGAAGGTTGGGGCAGATCCTGCTGCAATCAAGGGAGGAGGTTTCGAGTTCCCAGCATCCAGATGGGGAGGGAGGGAAAAGGAAAAAAAAAATAAATAAAAGAAAAAATCCTCACTCTGCAGCAGAAACTGAGGACTGATCCGGAAGTGATGCGACTGGTGAATTGGCAAATGGACTCGATCAGGTTGGAGCAACAGCCCCCATCACACACACCCTTTCCCCCTCCCCTTCCCCGGCTGCTGCTGCTACAACTTGGAGAGGCTGATGGGGACAGAGCAACCCCTCACCTCCGGCTGCTTTGGAGGCGTGTTCCCAAGGCAGGAGAGAAAGGATCTCTTCCTCCCTTCCTCCCACCACCCTCTCCCCTTCCTCCACTAGCCCCGCAATGGTGGAGTCAGGGAGTGCTCCGGGAATCCTATTGTTCCTCACTTTTCTCCAAGCAGCGGAGCCGGAGGGCGGGGAGCAGAGGAGATCGCGGTGGGGTTAGCGGGAGGCAGAACGCTGCTGACTCATCTTCCTGGGCTCTGGGGCAGCGCTGGTGCCGCGACTCGGGCAGACCCTCTTCAGGGGGAGAAGGGTTGATTGATGGCACTGGAGAGAGAATGAGAAGGAGAGACAGATGGGAGAGGGGTGTGAGAACCGAGGGAGAGAAGAAAATGAGCCGTTAAGCAGGACCTACCTTCAGGAGCTGAAATTAGTGACCTTACTAGTCAATTAGGGCTCTGCAACGCCAGAGCCCCCCAGTCCCTCCCTGCGGGGGCGCGGGGGAGGCAGCCAAAGGCGGCTCGGGCTGAACGCAGGTTTCTAGAGGAGGAGACAGAGTAGCAGCCCCCTGCCTCCCCGCTCTTGCCCATGCTGACAGCGTCCCCGCCATGGGAGACAGACCCAGGGCGGCAGAGAGGCAGAAAGCAAG